AAACCTCTTTCTTAAAATTTCATTCGGCATCGAATGAACTATCGTTAATATTTATGCCAAAATTCTAAAGATTTTTTCCAGCAAATTCACACGAAATTCTCACTAAAATCCTCGTTACTATATAACATAATAATGCTTACCATTCTAACATAGATGAGAATTATTCTTTTCTCTTCGTATACGATATTCATTTTTATACACGAAATGCTGCACACTAAGTATAATCAGGGTGGCAATTGACCTGGAAAACCTGGAAAACCTGGAAATGTCAAGGAATTTGAAATTTTTGGAATAGTCAGTGAAAAGTCAGGGAGTTTTAACTTGGGTCAGGGAAATTTCTAGTTTATTTTAAAAAACAAACTAGAATGCTGTAGAAATAATAAATTATTTCTATAGCATTCTAAAAATCGTACTGCAGATATTTTTTACAATTAATTGATGTTATTTAACTTCTTAATTTATATTTCTTTTTTTTTGTGATCAATAATATTCAAAAAACTAAATGTATGGATAATTAATAACAAAAAAGATGTATAACTTTACAATAAATTAATGATCGAAATAATATCAATTATTGTATTTTCAAAAGTTTAATTATTTAATTTAATTTTCAAAAGAAACTGATCTTTTTTGAATAGTTGAAAATCTGCAAAAAAGTATAACATAATTTATAGTTCCAAATTTTTACTCAATTCTGGATATTAGATATGAATTCTAGCATACAAAAATTATTTTTAAATTAATTTGCAATTATAACGAATATTTGAATAACAATTATTTTTTCGTAGGTTCTGGAATTTTATTTTTGGTCAGGGAAAAGTCATGGAATTTTGAAATTAGTGTTCAGTCGCCACCCTGTATAAGGTATTATATAAATCAACAAAAAAAAAATAAATAGGACGTTATCAGGCACATCAATGGGTTTCTATTTAAGCCGTCAAGTACATGCAAGTGACGTCACTACCATTGGCTTTAATCTTTATCTTGTCGCTGCGAAAATGAATAATCAATAGCACTTTGCTCAGGAACTTTTAAATTTATAAAATTTCATATGAAGCTATTGACTTAACTTTAAATCAAAAATCGAAATATTTTATTGATCATTCATGTGACAGCCCGACCGAGATGATCGATGACCCTTCAATATTCATGCATATAATATTTTTATATCAAGATTATTACTATGACTCAGAGACTATTTTTATTTAAAATTATCGGAAACTAATCTAGATAATCTGATTAAGCTGTCATTCTACTATTTTTTTCTTTTTTACAAATTCATCATATTTTATAGAGAAATATACGGTAGCTCGAATGATATGATTACAAATGTTGTGGTTTTATAAAACTATCGGAAATTAATTTAAATTATCAGATAATATGATAATTATATTATTTACCTGCTTCAATTATTAACTAAATAATTATCTAAATTAAGTTACATAAATATTAGAAAATAATTTTTACTCTAAAGAACAAACTTGCTCTCGTTTTTTTCAACAGTACAATCAGGTAGAATGTGACATTAAGTACTTAGAAATTTAATGTTTTTTAGCTCAACTCATTTGGCATGTAGTACAAGCATACTAAAGATTACGTCGATAATTTATTTCTTTGGACGGTTTATTAGAAAAAAAAGCTTAAAGTTGTAATCAAACTTCATATAATATTATAATAAAAATAAAGATAAAGACAGATAAAACTTTAGTTCCTTTACGAATTCTCAATATCTTCCTTAAAAGCAAAGAAGACTACTCAAAGTAAATTTCGACGACGCTGGAAATTTCGATTGTAGGAGTAAAAGCAGAGCATAATATGAAACGGCAGAAACTTTTTGTAGTCACCCTGTGCTGAGTTTGCATTCTCAGTCCTATCTCAAAAGCTTTATTATCAAACGTACCGTAAAAAAATGAAAAGAAAATGCTGTCGGCATCTCTATCACAAAAGACAGTAGGTTGAACTTTTACTGAAGGACTTTTTTTTCTGTTAATTATTTGACAACTTTTGTATTTTTTTTTTTTTACTTTTTTTGTACTAAGACTTTATTCTTGACAAATAATTAATCGTTACAAATAATACATTTAAATGTAAACGTACAACATCTGCAAGTGTTTTTATTATTTACTTTTTTAGCCCAATTTATTATAATCGTTAATATTTAGTATTGGTTTTACGGATTAATATTACCATTATTAATAATATTATAATCATAAATTATAAGTCAATTTTATTAAACTTGTTTAAATTTTTAAATTACACTCACAAATAATTGTACGAATATTTTTACATTGTTTACAAACTCATTCACACGTTTTATGTTTATGGGTTTCTCATGTTAACTTATAACACTTAATTATGTGTTTACATCAATTACTTTCAATAAATGAGAATAATAATTATAGTTAATAATTAAAAAAATAATTAATAGACAAAATGCACGAGTCAATTGACCGATAGATGCGTTTGAATAAATTTTTATTGATTATGTACGACTTATTAGCTAAGCACTACTAAAGAGAATAATTTCGGTGATTCAGTATACGATGACACTGTTAATTATTTTATTTACTTCGTCGATATATTCAGCCATTGATTTTTTATACAAATGCCCTTTTTTTTTTTTTTATTCCTGAGGGTAAACAATACCAGCTGAATTTACAGAATGCAGTCAACAATAGTTGTATTAATTAATAATAAAGATTTATTTTGTTTATTTATTAATACGCTTTGTTTATTCTCTATTTTGATTTAAAGTCGTACTAAATCCGTAAGACACAAAAAAATTTTTAATTACCACATAATTCTACTCTGAAAGACTTCAAGAGATCGGAGTGTTTAGAGTTTTTCAATAAACATTATTAACTGATAATCATCTCTGTAACGATTTTATTTAAATTTTCCGACGCACATCTGATCTCTCAAGTTTCGACAATCGATGATTTGTTTCTTAATATCAACATTATTGATATATATATATATTTATATTTATATTAAAATGTTATATATTGTAATAATAATCATAATAACTATCGTTGTTATAATTGATAATAATAAAGCGCCTGCTGAAGTCAAAAATCTACTAAAGAAATAAAAAAAAAAAAATGTAATACAAAATGAATAGTTTCTAGATTTTTATCTAAAGATTTATTGTAAAAATTGTTAACTTGATGTTTCAAAAATTTGATAGCTATAGTTTGAGAAAAAATGTTAATTATATACATGATTTTTCTCCATAAGCATGGTCACTATTTTATTTTTTTTTTTTTACGTTAAACTAACACTATGGATGTAAGAAAGTTTAGAGAAGTATTACAGTTGTAAATATTATAAAGTTAATAATTTCATTAATTATTTCGGTGAATCGACGAATCAAAACTATTAGGCCATTTCAAATGACAATTAGCGATTTATTTTTTGATTTTTGTTGGATTTCTTAGTACACTTATATTTGTGTAAGGTTATTGTTAATATTATTATTATTATTATTATTATTATGACAAACTTCAAGAGTTCGTACTGTTTAACGGTGCTCAAATCAGCCTAAAGACTGTCGTTAATAAAAAAAAATTGTTATTACAAGGAAAAATATGATTAATAAATGTTATATTGATAATGATAGTAATAATAATGATTATAATAATAGTAATGAAACAATTGTAAATTCTATATTATTTTATAGAATAAAGGTATTACTTATTTACATTAATCGTTAAACAGATAATTCCAAAAAAAAAATATACATTAAAAAAATGTTGTAACTCAATGTCGGCATTAGTCAAACGATAAAGGTTTATAAAAAAGAAATTACCAAGTATAACTTATTTTTAGTCTTCGGAGAAAATATAATTGCAATGAGTTGTTGTAGATAATTATTTTCGTTTTGCTATTATTGTTGTTTTTAAGTGCTCTAATAAAATATCTAAGACATGAGATTAAATAATCTACAGATTGATTTTGAATATAGAGAAAATAATTATTTGAAAAATATCTACGTGAAAAAATTACACTTTATCGCATTTTATTGTGGTACTTAATTAATTGACTTAATTTACTGTTCCACTTGCGGTTGATTGTTATCGTATAATTAACTCCGGATCATATTATTACATCAATGTACAGTTATTGTGTACTGGAAATATGTTTATTAATGTATTTTCTACGTTATTATATCAATGTTTTTATTTAGTAATTATTAATAATGTTGTGTTGATGGTGATGGATTTTTATTAAGAAAAAAAGACGAAAGAAATAATGTTTCAGACGCATCTTTGGCTCCCCGTTAGCGTATCAGTCCGTGAAATTTAATAATGATCCGCGTTGTCTTGTACGCTGTAACATAAATTAAAAATCCAATTAAAGTAAACTAAATAATTATATTATATATATATATATTTTTTAAATGTTTATAATTGCAATAAATGAGATCTTAGATGATTAATAAACTTATTTTATCTTATTCTTATTACTATATTATTAAATAAATAATAATTAAATATAGATATGAAAGCGATGGTTAATGATTTAACAACAGCAGGATGGTGTTAGTTCCAAAGCACACAGGAGTCGACGATTTTGAGCACCTTTGTAGGATGATTAGTGATTCCTTGTTACCTATACAGTAGAACAACAAAATCACTAGTCTTCCATACAACAGAGCTCCATTCACTCACGCCGGATGACTAAATATATTGCTTCTCTTCAAGTTGATTCCAAGCTTTCTTTTATTCATTATTTCATTGAATATTATCTCACCTTCATTATTACTGGCATTCTCACTTACAATTTATAAATGTTAGATACAAGCGATGATTTTATTATTAGTATTTATAAATATATATTTATACAATATATGCCTTTTAATAGTTATTAATATGTTAATGCTTAATACAATTTGGTTAATATAATATTATTACATATTATAAATTAGTTATCTATATTTTTGATTAATCGATAAATGAATGGATTTAATGAAATTAAGCACGAGTATAAATCATAAAAAATTACCTTTGTTGCAGCAGATACTGGGCCATCTGTATTTGATTTGGTAATCCAGATATTGTTATTATACGATCATTGCTACCGGGTAATGGTAAATCTATTGTGATGGAAGCTCCACTGTCTGATCGTATTTTTCTGATTCGCGCACCACCTTTTCCAATTATAGCTCCTGCAAGCTGCAATAAGTAAAAACATCAAATATAAAAATAGACAATAAATAATTTTTTTTTATAACTGACATTGTAGTTGAAACTATTTATTAAAAACGATTTTAATGAAAAATTATTTAAATTCAAGATTTTATAAAAAAAATTTAACAGTTAATAAAGTTATTCTATATAGTTTGTAAATTAAATCTTAAAGTTATCGCAAAGAATTATTATGGAGATTTTTAATATACGTAAATTGTAAAAAAAAAAAAAAATTGGACATAAAAAAAATTTAATTTAACTTAAAAAAAAATCTTACATAAAAGTCTAAAGTCAACAGTTTGAACGTCAGAATCGTTAAAGTTGCATATTGACATATTATTTACGGATCACGTCATGAACAATTAATTAAACTTTTTCTTCGTATACAAAATATTAATTTTTTAGTTAAAATTTTTTTAATAACGCATACTCACATCTTTCGGAATGGTAACCTGGGTACTGGTTTTATTTCCACCCATATTACCTTGGTTACCCTGGTTATTTCCGCCCATCGGAGGGCCACCCATACCAGAGTTACCACCGCCGCCGCCGCCGCCACCACCACTACCACCACCGCCACCGCTTCCACCGAGTCCGTTGGGAGCGTTTCCTTGCATTCCCCATCCGTTATCTGTAAGCAATAAATTAATTTTAAATAAAATCAATGACAGAACGAAAAAAAATTTAAAAATCCTCAAATATACTTGATCTTTTATATTGCAACAGAAGCATTAAAAAATAAAAAATTAAATAAGCGCAAGAGCGCTTTATTTGAGAATTTTTTTTTTTCTATTATTTAACATTTCGCTCATCACTAATATAAAAATTAAACGTCTATTTCGTAAAGAAATTTTTACATTGTGAATATATATTAATTTATCAACCTAGATTAGTAAAATGATATCTTTTAAAAATACCACTCAACTAAAGCGATTTGCGTTAAAGTACCATAATAAATTCTCTATAAGAAAAAAAATATATCTCAAATAAACTTTTTGCTTTTGGCAAAATAACTCGGTCGGCAAACAAATCAATAGTTAATCTCGAAAGATGGAAGATATTTTTTTATAGAAAAAGTATGAGTTTGCTTACCGTTGTAATTTCCTCCACCGAAAGGCGGTGGGCCACCCCGGTTTCCGCCGTAGCCGCCACCTCCGCCTCCTCCACCGCCGCCACCACCTCCTCTACCGCCTTCGTAACCTCCACCTCGAGCGTTACCGCCGTATCCGCGATCGGGTGGTCCGGACATACTACCCCCGCCTCCGCGAGGTCCTCCGCGGGGTGGTGGAGGGAATCCACGATTCATATCTGGTGGGCCGCCACCTCGGTTATCACGACGGGGTGGCATTCCACCGCCACCACCCCCGCCGCCGCCGCCACCACCACCACCACCGCCTCCGCCACCACCTCCTCCACGTCCGCCTGGGAATCCAGGTTTACCTTGACCGTCTCCATTTCCATAACCACCATACTCGTCGGCATAGTAATCATCATAGTTGTGCGGATCATACGGGTTATTTATACCCTTCAACGGTGACTGAAAAATATTTTTATTTTTAATTATAAATCAATAATAATTTATGAAATTATTTAAAAAATTTTCTTAATGATAAAAAATAAACTTACAGTTTTTATGGTGGCAACCAATTCTCTGATACAATCCATACATGTTGCAGACTTTCCGCAAATGCTGATGACACGATCAGTGCTGTGGGGACAACAGTTTGAGTAAATCTTGATCCTTGCGCCAGTTTTCTGCAATGCAAACACAAGAATTTCCATTAGACTTCTACTCGGAAAGTATTCTGGCAACTGTTATTGTACTAGCTCGTTGACTTTTACGACCAAAGGTAACAACCATTCAAAGTATTTTAAAAACTTTTTTTTTATTCTTATTCCCGTTTGCTGAATACTTTTTTTTTTCTCTCTTGACTACTTTTACGTTTTTTCATGGCTAACTATCGCGTTTTACAATCTTTGCTTTATGTTTCTCATTTTTAGCTGGGGGTTTTTTTTTTTCCCTTTTTTATCGTATTACAGTTTATCCATGTTTATCGGAGTTGACGCGACAAACATCGAAAAGTGACCGCAGAAACGTAATTTTTTAGAGGCCAATCGTTAGATTGCGTGAGAACAATCGCTTATAATGTAGAGGGACCTAAGAGACCAGTAATTTTTTTTTATTGGTAACATACCTATCTTGATTAACCAGGTGAATGCTAACTAACAAGCACACGTCATTATTTTCATTCGTGCAAAAATGAATATTAATATCGGCTAAAATGCCTGGATCTTATTACTAAATAACACTAATGTAAGCTGAAATTTTTTTTTAATTATTTCAATGAACTTCCAAGTCTACAGCACCATTATATGTATAGTTGGTATTAAATTTTATCAACTGTACATTTACAATTTACTTAGATATACTTAAAATTTTGAGACATAATAATGTTTCAAACCGATTATTTTTTTAATTATTTTATCGAGTGTAAAAAGTCACGTACTTAATACTTTTTAATTTTTTACAACTAAAATTTTCACTCATTTGAACTTTTTCATACTTATACTTTCAACGTTTTTAACTTTGGAAATAGTTAAACAAATTTAAAGTTTAATAATGATAAAATTATTATTAGAAAATTTATATTTATGATTTAAAAAAAAAATAAATAAAATGATTTATGAAAATGAAATTTAAAAACTAAATTTTTTAACTACATTATTAAAATGTTACTACTTAAAAATTGGAGAATACTGCTCCATTTTATGGATCTTTAAAAGTAAGATAGTAAATTTTTAACAGAAGAATATGTTTCTTTACAGAATAAGTAATAAGTATTAATACTTGTTACATTAAAATTTTAACATTTACTATTTGAAAACTAGAAATAATTGTCAATAACAATGTAGGTAATACATGTTGACTTGAAGTTATTTCTGTACCGGATAAAACAATAAAATGTTATTGCGATGAAAGCAATAAAGTAAAAGAAGGATTATTAAAATGAAATTCGTATGTGAGACGGGTTTAAAATGATAATAGTTATTATTTAAATAAATAATTTTTCTGTTTTTTTTAATTAAATGTTCATATTAATATTCTAAATCCATATCCATAAAATAGTCAATAAATATAAAGATTTTCTCACATTAATTAATAATCTCTGGTATTGTCGTCATGTCCATTCTGTGTTAATGAGGAATCAATGAATTCAATTAAAGTGTATATAAATGTTCGCTATCCGCAATAGTTAACTTTTTTAAAAATTAATTCTGTATTACTGATCCAAGAGACTCAGTCAAGCTAAAACAGTTTGTCGAGTAAGATTGTAGTTTTTTACACCAACTAAAAAGTGAAAATAAATATACTGAGAATAATAAGTATATAAACCAGTTGTGAGGCCACGTGATTGTAAATTCAAATTCACTTTCACTCGTACTCAAGTTCAATATCTACTTCATAAAAGTAATGTTATCGTTCTCAGATAATAATATTATTAATACAGTAGAATATAATTCAGTTAGTGCTAAGAAATTACTCTCAATTTTACATTGAGGAAAAAATAATAATTTTTTTTTTTTTTAATAATTAAATTCATAAGATATAAATATTTTGTAAGTAAATAAATAAACTCTGAAGTAATAATATCTTTTTCAGTCTCAGTAAATATTAGTGCAATAAATTAATTACAATTTAGTGATACGATGAATTATTGGATAGTCATTACGGTAACATGTAATACGTCCATGTATTTGGTGTTATTGTTGATAGTATCGATCAAATTTCTGCTTGTAATTGTCCTTTGATACAATAACTAGTGAATAGTATTCATAGTAATCATTAATCAGTATACATAGTTTAAAATACGACGCTTGTCATTTAAATTTGAGTATAATAATCTAATTTACAGTCGTCGCACATCAATATAATTTATTTACTATTACTCAATAGCCGATACTGAATAAACTTGAATTTAAATATTTTGTATTTATATTTAATTTAGTTTATTTAAATTTAATTAACTAAATTTATCCGTTTAATTAATACTTAAATATTCTAATAATTTCAGGTTTATTATTCGACAAAGTGACATAACAAGAAATAATAAGCAAAAATAGTGAATAGTTGAAGTAGTTATTATTAATAATGACGACAGTCTATTCAGCAGCTGAAGTTGCAAGTCACGACAATGAAAAAGATCTATGGATGATAATACACGGCGGAGTTTATGACTTGACTAAATTTTTACAAGAACATCCTGGAGGCGAGGAAGTTCTTATGAATCTCGCTGGACAAGATGGCACCGTGTGCTTCGATGAAATGGGGCACACAGCTGAGGCCGTTTCACTCAGGGAAACCTACAAAATAGGTGTTATTGCAGATGGCGACGTCGGGGCGCCATCTTCCAGTTATTCCAAAAAAGAGCCGACCGTAGATGACGACAATTGGGAGTACGAAGAAACTAAAGAAGAAACCTCAACTTTGCCATATTTGTTCACCGGTTTGCTGGTACTCGTTTATGCATTTATATATTATTATGTTTTATGAAAAAACTTATCTTATCGCTGATATATTTATTTGTAAACGCAGTTATCAAATGATCAATCAATTTATAATTCATTTATTACTTTTGAATTTTAAAAATGGTTAATATTGTGGATACTTTGCTGTAATTGATTAATAAAATTATTATTGACAATATTTATCGTAATTTTCTTAAAAGAAGGTTAAATTAATAGATTAATTGTTGAATGAATAAATCATGGCATTTAGTAAGTGAGTTGTTCAATATTGAATAAGATGAGTAAATATAAAAATATCCTATTAAATGATATCAAAAATTATCTAATCTCGGTAGATACTTAAGGAATAAAAATAATTAAAAATTGCATTCAATTACGTAAATAGCAATGAGTATGCACTTATTTGTGGTACTGTTGAAGTAAAAAAAAAATTTTTGTAAAAAATATCAGTACAAGTGCATTATTTATAGATAAAATATGCGAGAAAACGGAAACACTAATGAATAAAATAAATAAATAAATAAATATAATATTCATTACATTGGATTTTATTTATTAAATGGAGATATTTTTCGTCCATGTCACATCAGAATCATTTTAGCGATATTAAATGTATCTGTTAGAGAGTGGGAACGAGCTGTTTTATCAGCGATGGCTCGAAGCGAGTACAAGAGACGGTAAAGATATGAGTTGTAAATTGAAAGTACATCCACTGATAAATTAAAGCTCTGTGGAATATTTTAAATTAAAATAATAATATACTTTTTTTTTAGTTACTAATAGAAAAAAATTATTTATTCTATTATTTTTCTGCTTCTTTTACTGTAAAATTTATTACTGTTCAGTGTTAATGGGTATTAAATACACGCGTATTTTATTATCTGTACGGATCAAAGTTCAACTGCCACAAGAAATATAAATGTGTATATTTTATTTTAAAATAAAACTTGTGTCTTCTTCACGGATGTATGGAAGTCTTTTTGGTTTAAAATAGCAAATCACATTTTAGCATCTCGTGTTTAAATATTTTGATTTTATTCATCCCGTTTTACCTACTGTACGATATATAAAAGATAATAGATAAGGTCAACTGTCGAGAACATTCATAAGGATAAAAAATAAAATAAAAATAATAAATATAAAGTAAAAGACAGAAAAGGATGTACTGAGAGTGGGGACACAAGAGTTTTAAAAGTAGAGAGGGAATGAATAAATATTGTGGTGATTGTGACAAGTACGACAGTTTATCGTCAAGTAACGTCATTCAGTGTATTAATAATTTTTACAGTGGATTTATTATATTTATTATAAATAAATTATCTTTATAAGATACTTCTATTATTACTTTGGTTTATATAATTATTTTTGTAATTTACTTCCAACTACCGCTGACGTCTCGTCTTGGTAATCATTGGTGAGTGAAAAAATTTAACAGGGATGAGAATAAGGAAACAGTGAGATGAGGGTTGATGTTGATGAATATTCATAAAACGTAAATTTGCGTTAAAAATATAAAATAGAAGTTTTTTAAATCACGTGCCTCCAGACACTAGTTAGAGAAAGAGAGCACGAGTTAGAGACAAGACTCTTGAAACTAAGTAGAGGTGAGTCGACAAATTTTTTTCATCCTCTTCCTCTGCTCTACTCTTTTTCTCTAATTTATTACATCAAAGCTCACAACACTCATTATTTTATTTCGTTGATCATTTTCATATAAGTATTCGCAATTATTTATAATATTAAGGTGTAAATATTTTTTCTATTCATCTGAAACGGAATGACGCACCTAATTTTACTTTATTTATCCTTCAAGAGCGTCTGCACGCCATGTTGTTGCGAAATAATACGATAAAGGAAAAAAAAAAATTAATTATTGTGCTCGTTATAATTGATTATGAATTGTCGGTAAAAAATAATTCATAATTCAGTAATGAATAATGAGGAGTAAATTTGATGATATAATTTTATCTTCTTAAGTTTTTAAATGTGGGAAGCTTCAGATTGGCTGATTCTTTAAACTTATTAGTTTCAATTGAATGAAAAAAGTCGAGCGAATATAACATTTAACATTTAATATAACATTAATATTTAATAATGACTGGAATGAATAATTATGGAATGGATATTACGCGTTATTTGCGATTTATAGTAGTTATTTTTAGTTGACGGTAAAACCACTTGAGCGCGCTCAATCTATGACAATTTAAATTAATCCCGGGAAATTAAGTTATAAACAATTGATGGTTGAATTTTTTAAATGTTATAGCTCTGACTCTTTTTAACATTGAAATTTAAATAAATTAGTGAATTTCCAATTAAAAATAGATTAAAATTATGACACTAAAGTTAGCAGACGTCTAATAATTTTTGATTTTTTTTATTAATTAAATTACAACTAAAAAGATATTTCTAAAAAATTGCACTACTAGTTTTTCAAGTTTTTTAGATGTGAAATTTTTTTTTTTCATTGTTTAATTGAAATTTTTTCAATAAAAAATTTCTAAAAGTTTTGAAATGTCGGTTAACTTCATTTTCATTAAAAATTTTATTATTTTCCCAAGTTTTAAAATTTGAAATAAAAATGAAAAGTGTAATGTTTAAAATTTATAAAATTATTAATTTAAATTTTTATTGCAGATAATTCAATTAAAAAATGACGGAATTGAAACAATTTACAAGAGCCGAAATAACTGAGACAGACCGAAAATTAACGAGGATAATAATCCATGATAAAGTTTACGATGTCACCCCGTTCCTGAACGAACACCCGGGAGGAGAAGAAGTTCTTCTTGACCACAAAAGTGTCGACGCATCTGAGGACTTTGATGACGTCGGGCACTCGGCAGATGCCCAAGAATTGATGAAGAAATATATGATTGGCGAAATAGTCGCTTCAGAACGGTCGAATAGTGCGCCAAAAAAAGGATGGACTACTGGACAAAACAAAACAAATCAACAAAAAGTCGAAGGCCCACCGATTCTCTTTTACATGATCGTCGGCGGGTTCCTGTCTTTTTTAATTGCCGCTTGGTATTTTAAACTCGGTGCTTGAATTAATTACTCTTATCACTTTTCCTTCCATTGCCAAAAAAAGGCTGTAGACTTTGATAACCGCGAGTGGGTAAATAAACCCATTCAATTGTAAAATTAATTTTTTTGATAAACTTTACGATTTTCTGTATAAAAAGTGTCATTTAATTATCATTATTATAATTATAATGGCTTAAATTTATTAACTTTTGTAAACAGTTAAAAATATAATGACTTTTAAAAAATGGCTGGAGCTTTTTTGACTAACAAGAAAATTTTTCAAGTTATTTATTAAAATAATTACTTGAAAACCCGGTAAATTAGCCGAGTACTAATTACGAATAGGGTACAGGGGTGTCGTTAACCGGGGAAACTTGTGCTGGTGACGATTTGCGTCAGACAACTGGAGCGAGAGAATTTAACAACGCGCATACTAGTTGGTACTTTGCTGATATGAATAGAGGGTGAAATTCATACAAAAAATAACTAAAAAATCTATGACATTGCCCAATAACTACTTGTCATTATATTATAGAATATACGTTCTTCATGTCGTTATTTTTATCTGAATAAGAATTAATAACTTCTTGAAAACCAGTGTATTGATATTTCCATATAATGCAGAATTAAGGTAGTAGAGTCTGGTAACTTGGGTTCAAAAAATCGAAAATTTTTTTTTTGCTTAATTTGAAAGTACAATGTCTTGAGAATATACTGTGAAAATTTCAGACAGAAATTCGAAATATTTCGGGAGTTATAACGAGTTTCCTAGAGTGCCTCGGAGTCCAACCTTTAATGTTGTTGAACTTTAAACGCGTTTTTCTCAAAACATTTTTTCTGGTTGGCTCGGGTCCTAACTTTTTTTCTACTGAATCGATTGCTTTCAAATTTTAACAGGCTGTTCTACACACTTATAGTTCTCGTCGGTAGTAACGAGAATTTTTTTCATCCCTAACTTTTTATTTTACAACCCTTTCTTTGCTAAAATAAAAGGACTTTTTTTTTCAAAGTCGGGCCACCCACGTGCATTTTTTTTGAGGTTCCAACTTCGAGTGACAATAATAATAAACTATTAAATTTTTTCAAATAAATTTTTTTTTATATTTTCAATATGTAAATAAAAACACTCTAAATATTCAAGATAATTCATTTTTATTTTCCTATAAAAAACCACCCTCCAAAGAAGTCATGAAAATAGGCATAAATTACCAGACTACTACCTTAATATAATGTTTTACAAAAATATAAAGCAATTTCAAGTAAATTTACCTGGAATTAATAAAAACAATTTGAAAAACAGAAACAAATATTGGCCAATTTTTTGAAAGTACTAGAAATTTTAACTGAATAAAAAAGACTAGAGTTTTTGGTTATCATTATTCTCAGTCTTCTAATAATTAATAATAATCATTTAAAAATTTTTTTTTGAAAATAGAGAGCCAGTTTGATCAATAAAAATTCATACAAAGAAGAAATATGCAAAATAATACCGCGATCAATTTAAATAAAATTTTTATGCTTATAAAAAACATAAATAAACTTTTAAAATTCTAAATTTTGGCATAATTTGAATTTGATAATGGAAAAATTTTCTTGAGTAAATTTTTGAAGAAATAAGAGTGAAGATACAGTCAAAATTTGGTGAGTTTTCAGCTATCAAACTTCAACTTAGCTTACAAATTTTATAAACTATTACGGAATCCCTTCGATATCATCCAATTCCCATTTGAATACTTATTACCAACAGGGAATTCGATCCCCGTGACTCATCAGCGTATACACACCCTGTAGTTTTTATTATTTTTAAATAATCATCAACACTCGCGTGTTTTACTCCAATAATAATTCACGAGTAGAATACAATAAAATATTCAAAAACAAAAAAAATTTAACATCAGTAACACTACTGATAATAATAAAAATACTACTAACATGAATGTTCACAAAAAAAAAAAAAAATATAAATAATTAAATTAAAAGCACTCGCTACTCACCTCGCAGTAAAATGCATAGCCGAGTATGAAATTACTAAACTTTTAACCATTAAATGATAAATAGAAATAAACAAATTTCAAACATGAGGGATTGCGATATAAATTGAATCTAAATAAAGTTAATAAATAATCCAACCCGCGAGTGAACCGTCCGCTCGAATGGCTGAGTGTCAACTGACTGGATCATCTCGTGCGCGCCCCGAATGCACCCTTGGGACTTTTTTAATGCCCTCTCTCTTTTTCTTCCTCGTACATACTTCCGGTCGTTTCCGATGGAAATGGAGGGGATGAAAAAAACGAGAGGAAAAAAATACCAACTGGATGGACATCAGTTGTACGTTTTTAAATTTCGTAATAATTCAAATATTTCACATTACTTTGTTCTTGTATAGTCAATATCAATGTTGTAAATAATAATAATAATAATAATAATAATAATAAAGAAAAATGTAAGATCAGCCTTTTTTAACTTATTTCTTTAAATGGCATAAAAGTAAAAGTAATAAAAAAGCGTACGGCTGTTATGTGAAAAGGTAAAGATGGAATAAAACGAGAAGAAGAACAAGAACATGAAGAAGTAATACCAATGGTAAAGGCAAAGGTTCTCATTCAACTCAAAAGAAGACTTTTGCCTGTATTGGGCCAACCAAAGAGAGCAGACATTTATGCACCTGGTGTAGCAGCTGTTTATGGACGTCCGTTACCTGGTCTAGCACCTGTTTGAGGTTGCGTGTCTTACAACCCGAACCCCCATAGCAACACATGTCACCAAGAGAAATTCAGTGGCCTCCCTCGCCTACATATCTACTATATTATATATTAAATATTACATCTACAACTCGATGAATTTTCATATAAAAACTTTAATATACTTTAAAAAGTTTTTGTTTTTTATTATTTCTTTACTCTTCTCATATTTTTCACAACATACTAATGTACATCCAAGATTACTGCATACTACTCTTACAAACCAACCTATACTACTCCAGTAGCTTTTGACTTTATACTACCTATACATCTGGCATCGTACACAGTTCGTCTTCCTTCTTTCATTATTATACTCTACACATTTTTATAGAAGCCAAAAGAAAACGGGCACATCTACTCTACTTGCGAATAACATCAAGAGAACAATGTATAGAAGTATATAAATATACTCTGAGAGAAAAATACGAGTTAAATAGATGTAAATGATTCTTTTATGAGTATTAAAAATAATAAAACTACTTTGATGTGGGCTTATTGTACAAAAAGTGATTAAAATATAAATGTCCTTTTATTTATAATTATATTCTTTTTTGTTAAATAAAAAATGTTTTCACATTATTCAATTAAAGTGAAAGAAATAATTCCGATTTCGTTTATTTTTAAAAAGGATTTACGTGGTATACCTGTCTGTACTAGCGAGATTTAAGATTTTTCATCGAGTAAACTTTTCAGAAAATTTAACCGAATGAGATAGAGACAGGGAAAGTTAACTCAGACGATCCGGAGGTAAAGTTGAAGAAAAATAAAAGCCCATGAGATTGCACTGGTTTTATCTTTAAACCTATCTATATATATATATATATGTCCATTTACAAGGTAACGACTAAGATCAATTTTATAATCGCTGTATATCCGCCGAGCAATTTCAGTAAATCTACTTAATACTTTATTTATTTTTAGTTAATTAATTTATTATATATTATTAATATTTTATTTTATAACCCATGTATATATGCATATTTTAACACCGGAGAGATGACAGATCCAGAATATAAATATGCAGAATCATGAAAACGTAATGGCGAATATTTGGAATGGGTTGTGCGCGCAAGTTGTGGTATTAGTTATGGCTGTCGATATTGATCCAACCCACGACCTATTCCCTCATCTTATCTCAGCTGCATAAACTTGCTAAACACATGTTCACAATGAGAGTAAATGAATGATTCAATTTTGTTTTATTTAATGAAGGCATGAAATTTTGATTTCGACTCCAAACAACAAACAACCCGAGCTAAATGACTTTTTGATTTTATTTTAGTTGATTTCATTATTTTTTGGCTTACACATTACCTTGGACGATAAAGTAATTGGATGAGAGCGAGAAGAAGAGATGGTATGACCGAAGAATATTCTGCAGTCACCTAACCGGATTTTACGGCCGACCGGAAGCCGGAGGTTTCGTTCCCTTTATGCCTCCGGGTTATAAGCTCGAACGGCTTCCCTTCGCCAACTTTAGAGTTTAAATTTTCGAGGATGGTGAGGATCGTCTATGTATACTACACACGCTTGTATATATATATATATGGGTATGTATATACTTAGTAAGTCTTGTGTGTGTACTATTTTAGTAAATGCTTGTCTACATTTTTTCCGAACAGCTACGCGGGTTCATTTTAAAGAAGTTCAATCGCAATGGAGATATAAGTTGAATAATAATAAAAAATTTTTTTAAACAGTTCAAGTCGCATTTATAATACTGTTGAATTTTTTTTTTAGTGTGAAAATTTATTTAAATTTTTCTAGACCAAATTTGTGTATTTTTTTTTTTTTATAATATTTGAAAATTTCACCACTAACATTTTTAATTTTACATTTAATAATTTTTTTTTTTATATTTACTTTAATAATAAATGTTAAGTTTTGTTAAAATATTTATTCCTTTTTTTAATTTATATTTCTACCTTGTAAAGAAAAAAAAATGTATGAACGGTTTATTATCGACAAGCTTATTGTAATGTTTGATAAAAGTTTTCGTACAAAAAGTAAAGAAAAATAAAAATATGAAAATGTAAACGTGTAGTTAATTTAATATCGCGTGTATAGATTATAATTGAGGGTGATGCATATGTCAGTGATCGGACCTTAGGGGCGTATATGGAAACAATATACGAATACAAAAATGAACATGACATGTGTCTTGTCAATGGACAACAGAAGAACGTTATTTTTTTCCCATGAGTGACGAATCAAATTATTGGCAGATGCAAATTTTAAGTCAACGCCACAGGAAGTTAATTTGTATTTCATTATTGTTCTT